CATCTATCCTAGGAAATGGATATTTATTCTTGATAGTCAACATGTTCAATTGTCTGTAATCTACACACAATCGGCTACCCCCATATTTCTTTTTCACTAACAACACAGGAGCACCCCATGGAGACGCACTTGGTCTCACCATCTGCTTTTCCAACAACTCCTCTACTTGTCTTTTCAACTCAACCAACTCTGTTAGAGCCATCATATAAGGAGTAACCAACATTGGCCCTGCACTTGGAATCAAATTAATGCTAAATCAATCTCCCTAACAGGAGGTAATATAGGCACCTCACCCGAAAACACTTCTGGGAAATCCCTCACAACTTCAATCCCATTAATTACTTTCTTAGTTTTCACACTCATAACAGCAAATAGGATAAAGCACTTTGCTTCATCCCTCAACAAAACTCCAGCTTGGCTAGTTGACACCAATAACTCATCCTCCACCTGAGGAAATACAACTTCCTTTTGGCACAATCTATAAGAATGTGATTGATAGAGAACCAATCCATCCCTAAGATTATATCAATATCAAGTAAAGGCAAACAAATTACATTCACCTTATACTTTTTATCACCCATCTACAACGGACATCCAACACAACTCAATAGCAATCACAAAAACATAAGTGGGAGTAGAAACTAGCAGTTTCAACCCCAAATCACACACAGACAAACTTAACCTCTCAGTACAAGCATAGGAAATAAAAGAATGGGAGGCTCTTGAATCAAGTAAGATCATCACATCCTTATCGGTAGCTTTACCTTTCCGCTTCACCAGATCGGATGAAGTGGAAGCTTCAACTTCAGTCAAGGTACACCCTACCAACTGTAGTAGGCTTCTGGGGCCTAGTTACGATTAGGGCCTAGTTGCGATTGGGGCCTATCATAAGGCTTCTTTTGACCTCCACTTTTCTTGGACCCAGCTAGCCCCTCAAAAGTCATCACTGCTCGGTTACCACCTTTTAACCTCTTAACGACTTTAGCCTTCTCCACCAAGGTCGAAAACTCAGTGATGGCCATAGGCACCACCACCCTCTTCAATTCATGCTTCAAACCTTCAACAAACTTCCTGCACTTCCAGGCTTCAGAGATAGCCTGTGAATAAAAACTAGTCAAGTGCTTGAATCTCATCGCATAATCAGAAATTGTCAAGCTCCCCTAGTGTAATCTCATAAACTCTACCTCCTAGGCATGCCTCACACTCTCTGGAAAATACTTCTTAAGGAACACCCTCTTGAAGCATTCCCAATCAACAACCACTGATCTAGCAACCAACATCTATTGAGTGCCCCTCCACTAGTACTCAGCTTCCCCAACCAGCATATAAATGGCATAGACCAACTTCTTCTCATGAGAACATCCTAATATAGTGAATATTTTCTCCATCTCATAGATCCAGTAATTAGCTACCTCTAGGTCTGCATCTCCTTTAAACTACGGAGGGTGACACTTCCTAAACTCAACTAAATCACGACTCTCTTGAGACCCAACTGGTCTTTTTTCCTCAATTACAGCTCTCTATGCTTCCACCTGAGCAAAGTAGGTGTTCTGCTGTTGCATAGCCATGACCATCATCTCTATGAAACGGGTTATCTGCCCATTTCATCTAGGCATATTCTACATAAATCAACAACTCATTCAGCAACACTACATAACAACTACTCATCAACCATCAAATAACTAGTTAACACTACTCCACACAATTTCAATATTTTATCAACACAACATAAAGTACTACACAACAAAAACCTAATGGGATCACCCCCACAGAGTGTCCACTAAACTCGACCTACTTTAATACCATAAAAGTGTAACAACCCGTCATAGTCGTAACACTACTGAACAACACAACTGAACAACTAGAAATGTATACTAAAATGGTATAACATGAATCTAATACATATATATATATATATATATATATATATATATATACACATACACACACACACACCACTATGCATAAAAGGTGGCCTAACATGTTACAATATAAACAATGGTCTACAAAATAAAATGTACCACTAAGGGTAGTCAACAAAATATAACTCTCCAGCTCTTGCCACCAAGTGGCCTCAAGCAACTATCTCCTAGCCTATTCCTGCTCTACTCTCATACATCATATAATCATCGCAGTCCATACCACATGAAAAGATGCAAGGGTAAGCTAGTTTAAATAAACAACGGATATATATGAAATATACAACACATGCAACTTAGCATCACTGTCATCATCTTCGTCAACTTGTTCAACATACAACACATAATACTTAAACAACATATGAATATAAAAGAAACCTACAACATATCACTATCAACAATAACAACTTATTCATCATGAAACACACAACACAGACAACACACAACTTTATAACAACTTCACAACATATCAACACATACAACTCATCAAGACATATGCGTCGTCATGCATTTCAACTTGGAGATCTCCTACAACACAAGGTGAGTAGTCTAAGTGGTTAGATCCTACCGAATCGACAACACAGAACCTTTTTGGGCTTGCTACGTAAACAACAAATTTGGATAAAAATTCACAACATGATAACGATTTCTCAGACTTTATCACTTAAACAAGGAAGTATAGTACTATGTCAGGATAGGACAGTTGGGTTTAGACCTACCACAGCATTAGCTAGCTCAACTAAGCCACATATTGGATTAGCTTACTGACTATCCTCCAAATACTACAATCCTCCGATACTCGGTTACGAACTAAGTTTCTAACTTTGTACTTTACTCGAATTGGCCATTTATAATTGGTATAGCTTGACTTGGCCCCTATAATGTGGTTGCTTCATACACGTGTGCCTTAACCTTAAGTCCTAGAGGAGAGCAACACATCATCCACTCCAAGGGACAACTCCCCAAGGAGGGTTTTTTAAAAAATTGGGCTCTTAGAGTACCACAACTATCTCAATCTGCAAAATGGGATGAGCAACTTCAAAAACATCTTCGCTAGTCTTAGTGATCAACAATTGATCATCACAACACAATCAAAACAATTTTTAACTCATCATCTCAATCAACTTTCAACTTGAATGACACAATCAACTCAAAACTTTAACACAATTTATCAACACAACAACTCGTCAACACTGTTTAACAACACATTTTAACAACACAACAGCTCATTCAACTCATATAACATTTCTACACAATTACATAACTAGGGTTCAACATGCAACTCTCAACTTACAACTATGTTTTCTCATCAAACCACAACATTCATCATTATTCAACATTTTATCATATATATCAATACACAACATTTTCGTCACATAATACATCTCCTATTACATAATTAAAACTCATAAATCGTGCCAAATTACTCAATATAACAACACAAATAAATTTAACACCCAAAACAACTATCAACTTAACCAAATCACTCATTGTGAAATGGTAACCTTCACATAAAATAGCTTATCGAGAGTTATACTACTCCTATCATGCTCATCCTTATCTCATATGAAAGATAAGGAGATTTAATACAACTCCTATGAAGACATAAAGTCCTAATTCCATCATCTACTTTGTTAAAATTTATAAAAACCTCAACATCTATAACCAATGCTGACAACTTGACCCATATTCACTAAAATAGCCATATCTAGAGTTCTAGACCTCCTTTTTGGGTGATTCTGGTGCCATTGGAAAGCTAACATCAACGGATATAACTTTTATGAAGACCTTAAGACCAAATTAGATCATCTACCCTCGGCTCTGTCGCGCTCAATTCAGAGTTCTAGCTTCAAATCTTTGCCAACTTCATTTTCTCCTAGGGCTATAGTGCCCAACTTGGAGCTGCAGCTCCAAGTCTCGGCCACCTTGTTTTCTTTCACAGTTGCAGTGCCGATTCAGCACTCTAGTGCGAAATGCAGAGCTTTCTGCTCTTCCATGGCTCCCACATGTTTTTCACCCAAAATCCATCAAAAAATTACAATCTAAGGAGACCCAACACATGCAATTGCAAGAAAGAAATCCTACCATCAACATGAAACTCAGAAAACATCACAAACCCCACATGCAACAAGAATCCTACCCAAACCATCACATTTTCTTCCTTCCACTTAACACCTCACTTTTAATTGAAATGCTACACAAGTTAATCCTCATTCATCCAACCCATCAAACAACACTACTTTCATGCTACAAACAGCAATCAATGATAAATTTCTAGCTTCCTTTACCTCAGAGGGAGAAGAATTTTGGTTCCGAGCTCACGGGGAAGAGAAAAAGAAGAAGAAGAGAAATGAAATTTTTTCATCCAAGAAAGGGAATGAGAATAGAGTAATGGAAGGAAGGGAAAAAATGAGTGAGAGAGAGAGAGAGGCTCGTGGGCGCGGGTCTTACAAATGTAAAATTTCCTTACAATCCAATGGACAAGGTAATTCTTGCAAGATATTTATGTTGACCTCCTCAATAGGAGACAGGACAATACCATGAGTACTTGTAAACCTTATTGAGTTTGATTGCCAATATAGGGGAAATTTAGGTTTCCCATCAACATGAAAGATGTTGTCAACTTCAAGATGATTATTAAGAGGACAAACCTTAAAAAACTCACTCTTGAAATTCTTATATGAGGGACAAAATAAAGTAAAAAGGCCTTGAGAATGAATTTCATTTAAGAAGGCCTAACCTATAGGTTTGCTATATTTCAACTAGTAAAAGTGCATAAACTTTTGCAAAGTAAGTTGGATATTCGTAAAAGAATAAATATTTGAAAGACCTTAAGAAAAACCTTAACTATACATTAGGATGAAGCTATGTGGGAGTAACATTAATCTTAGTTAAGACTTGAGAGTTGAACCAGACATGACCAATTAAAACCAGCAAATTTGGTCAAAATCCAAACCAGATCTAGTTATTATTATGTGAAAAAATTCAACATTCCGTATTTAAAAAAAAGTCTCACAAGCCAGACAACTTAAGCAAAAATAATGCTCAAGAAAAAATGAGAATATTTTAACTTTCTTTAGAATAAAAGCATCACTTTATAAGGCCCATACATGTGCTTTCCAATTTATAATGGGTGAACAAACATCTTCATGAAATATAATAAAAAAGCATGACAAATTATTTCTAATTTCTAATTTTTAATAAATCAACCATAAAAGACCAACATTAGGAACATTGGCCAAACTTCAAACAGGGAGATACTTCAAACTTTACTATTACAATGCCACAAGGCTGGATTAAGGAACCAACAGTAATTCAAAATAGTTTTCTTATAAATTTATCAAGCTTTGAATGCAATCTACCTGCTGCATACTGTGCTTTTGAACAATACGAACTCCTGAACAAAAAATGTGAGCATCACTTCCTGTTAAGGAAATCTTATTAATTTCGTCTTTTGTATATGGCGTGATCTGACAAAATAGAAGAACAGTAAGAAATTTAATAAAATCAATTAAAATAGTAAATGAACACATGTCTAACAATTTTAACTAGTTTGACAAGTCATAACTATGTCGATAAATGAGAAAAAAAACTTACAATTGGACCGTCATCCCGACCATTAGCACCAAGCAATTGGGAACCAGGTCTGTTAGTTGCACGAACGGGAACACCTATATAAGCATAATCAAACCAATGAGAACAAATTTCAAAGACAGTCACAAAACAATCATTGCAAACATATTTGGTGTTTTAATTTAAAATGACATGCTCCTAGTTGCATAACATACCATGGAAATTAAAACTAGACAGCCAACAAAAAACCTATTTCCAAATTAACAAGGAACACATGGCTTAAAAAATACCATTGACCTGCAGGTCTGCATACAGTGGCCACTGCATCCTGAATGGAATCTTGTCGTTCAAAAGCATACACCAAGCCTAAACACAATTTTTTCAATAAATAAGCAAACCAACACATCAAAGGATACGCATTAATCTACATCCACTGAAAATCCAAACAAACCTCAACATCAAATTTTGGTTTTGAAACCAAGTCTTTGTCTGCTCTAGTAAGTTGAAATGTTCTCTCAACACTCTGAACTGGGTTGGTTTTGAACAATTCAAATGAGAATATGGTTAAGCCATTCAAGCAGAAGCCACATTTGAAATTAGGTTCTAAACATTATTTACACATTACACATGATCATTAGATCGTGTTTTTGGATAGAAAATAAATACTAGCCTAGCTCCACCGAATAAAGATTACAATCCCTACAAATAGCATAAAATAACCATATACGTAAAAGAAATGCAATAAAAAATACCACCATCCAGTAAAGGAACTTTCACGCGTGCTTAAAATGCATCCAGAAAATCCCCAACGCACCCCACCAAAAAAAATAGCTAGTGTACTATCCGTACTGCGTAACCGAGCTCAGAGCTCGGTACCACAGCGCAAGCCAACCTCAGACACGCACCGCGCGACATCAGCTCGGTATTTAAGTGAATCATAACTGATTCCCGAGGATCTCGCCCCAGACGAGATCCCTTATCTGATCACATTATATCTCATCTCAGGCCCAAGGCCCAAGACAACCCTAATTCACACTAAGGTACGTGCATTACATATACGAGACTAGTATTCACACAAACACTAACTTTAGCATCGGAGTCTCTTTTGCAGGTACCACCCCCATCTTGGAGCACCAGCGTACCAGTGAAGGAGGCTCACCGATCTTACTTGGCAGATCAGCTCTACAGCAGATTTCCGGTAAGAACATTTGGCGCCCACCTTGGGGGCGATCAAGACAACTCTTATCGGCCACCTGTATGGTCTTCACCAGAAGCCATAGTAGACGCGCAACAGACAACGCAGAAAACTCAATCACAATGGACAGCGACGCTGCGACCTTGAGGAGGCTGATCGACTAGGTCGAACAGATGCGGCAATAGCACGACGCTGACCTGCGCAATATGCGTGCCCAGCACGAAACCGACCTAGCGGCGATGAGAGCCACCAATGAAGCGGACCTAGCGGCATTACGCGCCGAAAACGAGCGCATTCGCGCCCAACTCCCTCGACGCCCCTCCGATCACTCTCCTCACAAGAGCAATATCCACGAAGACGAGGCACACTCGGCCTCTCAATCCCGGACTGCGACTAAGGCACCGACTTCACGACCCGCCACGCATCGATCTCGTGCATCGACGCACAAGCCGGGTCCAGACGCCAGCAGAGCACCCACACGTGCCACAGAAGGCCACGAAACCTTCCGCCGACATCCTTTTGTGCACGGCATAATGGAGACCCCACTCCCCCGTGGATGGAAGCCTCTCCATCTCGACCGCTATGATGGCACGACGGACCCCGATGAGCACATTGACCTGTATACAACCCAGGTAAACCTCTACACTAACAGTGATGCTATCCTGTGTAGGGTTTTTCGACATCGCTCAAAGGAGCCGCACTCCACTGGTACACCCAGTTACCCGCCGAGTCCATCGACAGCTTCAGCACCTTAATCTGGCGGTTCACGACACAATACGCCACCAGCCGACCTCACCACACAACCTCCACTGCATTGGCCAACCTCAGGCAGAATGATGACGAACCTTTGCAGACCTTCATGGAGCGCTTCTCCACCATCTCGGTGAGGATCCGGAACTTAAACCCCGAGGTCGCCCTGCACTCCATGCTCATGACCCTCAAAGCTGGCCCCTTTGTCGATAGTCTCTACCGAGATCCGCCCCGCAACATGGACGAGCTTCGCGCCTGTGCGGCCGGATACATTCAGATGGAGGAGCACTCTGCCTTCCGCAACCAGGTTTGCGGGAAAGCTCCAGCAAAGTCGGAACAAGGGCATAAGGATAAAATCAAAGTAAACAACGACAGCCAATTCAAGAAGTCGACTAGGGCAAACAGAGGGGGGAGATACGACTTCTACACTCCCTTAAACGCACCTAGGGTACACATCCTGGAGGAAGCCAGCAACAACAACTTGCTCGCCCTTCCACCACCAGGTCACACTCCCAGCAACGCCGACAAGTCCAAGCACTGTCGGTACCACAGGAACCATGGTCACACCACAGAGGAATGTCACATACTCCGGGACCGCATCAAAGAGCTCATTCAAGCGGGTCACCTCGGCCAGTATGTCCAGCGACAGCAGGGTAACAGAGGCGGCTATGGCAGTCGGGGACATGGCAGAGGTCGCGGTTCAGGAGCTCGCACTGACCAACACCCGGGCTCCCAGCAAAAACTCTAGCGGCGTAGTACAAGCCGAGATAAGCCAAGAGACAGAGTCGGCTCCCTTAAGGGGAGTAATCAACACGATTGCAGGTGGTTTTGCTGGGGGCGGCGCCAGCAACTCGGCTTGAAGGAGACACCTGCGGAGCATCAACTGCGTCCACTCCACCACCTCGGCCCTCCACCAAAGCTCACCGCCGATCTCCTTCTCTGACGAAGACTACGCCGGCGTCATCCCTAACCAAGATGCCCCATGGTCGTCATTTTGGAGATAGCCAACTGGAAAGTGCAGAAAACACTCATTGACCAGGGAAGCTCGGCCGACGTCCTGTACTGGCCTACGTTCCTCAAGCTAGACGTCCCCCACTCTCTCATTCAACCTCACACGGAGCCCCTAGTCGGCTTCGCAGGAGAGCGAGTTCACACTCGGGGGTACGTAGACTTGCTGACAACTTTCGGAGCACCACCAAATACACGGCGGATCATGGTTCAATACCTCCTCGTGGAAGCCAACACTTCCTACAACATCATCATCGGAAGGCCCACCTTAAACCAACTCGGAGCGGTAGTTTCAACCCCACACCTCACCATGAAGTTCCCGGGCAAGGACGGTAAAATTATCTCCGTCAAAGCTAATCAGAAAACGGCTCAGCAATGCTATGCCGAGAGTCTGAAGGTCTCCTCGTCCAGCAAGCAAAACAAGGGGGATCCCCCCACCGTAGCTCCTTAAGTTTCATTTCTTTTCTTAGTATGAACAAAGTGTGCACTCTTTTCCCGTCCCAGTCTTTGACTGAGAGGGTTTTTAACGAGACACACAGGCATAATAAATAAAATTACTCATTTTGCTCAACCCATACTCTTATCTTTCCGCTTATATAAAGAACGAAAACGAACCTTAAACGCACAAATGCAAGTTCCGAGGTCGAATACGAACCCCAACACTCTCGTCAAAGGTCGAGTTCGAACCGTAATTAAATAATCCATCTAAAATATAAGGTCAAATTCGAACCTTGGTTTATTAAGGTCAAGTCTGAACCTTCACGAAAATATAAGGTCGAATTCGAACCTCGGTTTATTAAGGTCAAGTCTGAACCTTCACGAAAATATAAGGTCGAATTCGAACCTCGGTTTATTAAGGTCAAGTCTGAACCTTCACGAAAATATAAGGTCGAATTCGAACCTCGGTTTATTAAGGTCAAGTCTGAACCTTCACGAAAATATAAGGTCGAATTCGAACCTCGGTTTATTAAGGTCAAGTCTGAACCTTCACGAAAATATAAGGTCGAATTCGAACCTCGGTTTATTAAGGTCAAGTCTGAACCTTCACGAAAATATAAGGTCGAATTCGAACCTCGGTTTATTAAGGTCAAGTCTGAACCTTCACGAAAATATAAGGTCGAATTCGAACCTCGGTTTATTAAGGTCAAGTCTGAACCTTCACGAAAATATAAGGTCGAATTCGAACCTCGGTTTATTAAGGTCAAGTCTGAACCTTCACGAAAATATAAGGTCGAATTCGAACCTCGGTTTATTAAGGTCAAGTCTGAACCTTCACGAAAATATAAGGTCGAATTCGAACCTCGGTTTATTAAGGTCAAGTCTGAACCTTCACGAAAATATAAGGTCGAATTCGAACCTCGGTTTATTAAGGTCAAGTCTGAACCTTCACGAAAATATAAGGTCGAATTCGAACCTCGGTTTATTAAGGTCAAGTCTGAACCTTCACGAAAATATAAGGTCGAATTCGAACCTCGGTTTATTAAGGTCAAGTCTGAACCTTCACGAAAATATAAGGTCGAATTCGAACCTCGGTTTATTAAGGTCAAGTCTGAACCTTCACGAAAATATAAGGTCGAATTCGAACCTCGGTTTATTAAGGTCAAGTCTGAACCTTCACGAAAATATAAGGTCGAATTCGAACCTCGGTTTATTAAGGTCAAGTCTGAACCTTCACGAAAATATAAGGTCGAATTCGAACCTCGGTTTATTAAGGTCAAGTCTGAACCTTCACGAAAATATAAGGTCGAATTCGAACCTCGGTTTATTAAGGTCAAGTCTGAACCTTCACGAAAATATAAGGTCGAATTCGAACCTCGGTTTATTAAGGTCAAGTCTGAACCTTCACGAAAATATAAGGTCGAATTCGAACCTCGGTTTATTAAGGTCAAGTCTGAACCTTCACGAAAATATAAGGTCGAATTCGAACCTCGGTTTATTAAGGTCAAGTCTGAACCTTCACGAAAATATAAGGTCGAATTCGAACCTCGGTTTATTAAGGTCAAGTCTGAACCTTCACGAAAATATAAGGTCGAATTCGAACCTCGGTTTATTAAGGTCAAGTCTGAACCTTCACGAAAATATAAGGTCGAATTCGAACCTCGGTTTATTAAGGTCAAGTCTGAACCTTCACGAAAATATAAGGTCGAATTCGAACCTCGGTTTATTAAGGTCAAGTCTGAACCTTCACGAAACTCTAATGTCGAGTTCGAACCTCGGTCTATTAAGGCCAAGCTTGAATCCCCATGGAGCTCTAAGGTCGAATTCGAACCTCACACTCCGAGGTCGAATACAAACCTCGGCACTCCCGTTAACGGCCAAGTTTGAACCATAATCAAATGTTTTCCCCCAAAATTGAGGTCAAGTACGAACCTCAAATACGCTAATTCCGAGGACGAGCCTGAACCTGGATATACTCGCCTAAGGTCAAATACGAACCTTAATTAAATCATATACCTCGAGATCCGAAGTTGGGTCAACCCTCCAGAATGCAAGTTGAGGTCGAGTCTGAATCTCAATGTTCTCGCCCAAAGTCGAGTTCGAATCCTAGTACCGTTCACTCTACTTCAACTTGGGGACGACTTCGAACCCCTGTACGCTCTTTCAAGATCGAACACAAACGTTGATGAAACACACACCACTCTAAACCCAAGAACGTGTTCGAACCTCGGTGAAATGTATGAATTCGAAGACAAATACGGACCACTTATCCGAGAAAGAATTCGAACCCCTACAACATCCTACTTAACATGCGAGTTTGCCTGGTGACGCAACTCACTATACTCCGGTTTGAGGTCGACTCAAAACCTCGGCGCTAACAAATCAAGGTCATCGAACCTTCACAGAAACACTCACCCAAACAGATGTCCGAGGTCGAGCCCGAACCTCCCCAAAACTACGAGGTCGAACACGAACCCTAACATCGAACCTTAATCAAATCGTCTCACTCTAAATTTAGGTCGAGTACGAACCCCAGCTCAATCGTTTCAAATGGGAGGTCAAACTCGAACCTCCACGAAAACCTAAGGTCGAGACCAAACCCCGTGCTATCAAGGTCAAACCTGCACCCTCATGAAAGTTTAAGAAAACGGATATCAGAATGCATACACAAATCGAGCACAAGCGCAACTCAATCGTTTCCCTCAAAGTTGAGGTCGGACTCGAACCCCGACACCCTCACCTAAAGACCGGATGCAAAACCTAATTAATCTAACGACGAGTGCGAACTCTCAATGGGTCACTCAAACTTAGGCCAAATCCAAAGCACACCAGGGGCATCAAACATACGTCTCAAAACACGAAAATGTCAAAAATCAGACGAAGTCGCAGATGAAGAAAAACACATATATACATTAGACGCAAAATTTCCAAGGTTCAATACATAAAGTCAGGAAAAGGAAACATAAAACAAAAAAAAAAGACAACAAAAACGGCCTATGCTGAGGCATTCCCACTCGAACTGTCATCGACATCATCCTCCCTGACCAACCTCCCAAAGTGGACGACCTTTTCCACATGCATGGAGGAGAAGTCGAACCCGTGAGCCAGGAGACGTGCCTGACGAGCAGCCTTCTGAAAGCCCCTCTTATGCTCTATCACAACGGAGTGCTCGACCTCCGCGAGCCTCTTCTCCGTGGCCGCTTTCCCTGCCGCGAGCTCCGCCTTCAAGGTGGCAATTTCGTCTTCACGGCCACCAAGAATGACCTCGCCACGGAGGCGCTCCTCAGACGCCGCCGCCAACTCTCCCTTAAGAGAGGTCACAACGTCCTCCAGAGCCCGCACTTGGCCGCGAGAGGACGTCACCTCATCCTCCTAAGAGCGAACGCGACCCCGAGAGAAGGCGACGAGCTCTTGCAACTCCCCCACCTGGGAAGCATAAGCCTCGTTGGATCGTAAAGCGATCTCAAGAGACTTTTGCACCCTCTCAAGATCGCCCCGCGCAGACCGAAGCTCCACCTCCTACCGCTTCACCTCGCCAACAGCAACACTGAGAGCCTTGTTCTCCTCCCTCAGGATCTTATTTGCATCCTTCCAGGGTTGAAGTCGACCCCTCAGCTTGGCCAGCTCCTCTTGCTGCTTGGCCAGGTCCTCTTGCTGCTTGGCCCACCTCGGCTTCCAGTGGCCCAAGATGCCCGTAGCCCTCTGCAGCAGGACCTGAGCAACATCAAAACTATCCTCGGGGCTGACCTCCTCTATCAACCCCTGGTCCTCGGAGCTCAACGAACCTTGAGGGAAGAACTTCTCAGCGGTCACCCCCGAGCTCCACAGAGAGTGCATGTCGGCTGAGGCGCTCACATGGTCCAGCCGCACCTTCGGAAGGCCCTTCCCGAAGCGATGAGCCAAGTATCGACTCCGTGAAGCCCCCTGTGACGAGCCACACGGTGGCGCCAAAGCTGCAGCGGGGGACGAGGGAACCTCCGACCTCACTTGCAAAAACCAGCCCCATGTTAAAAAAGAAATAAGATGACAAACAGGAAACCACGAAGGCCTAAGAATACTACTTACCTCAGTAGCAGGGGCAACCTGCTCGGTGGCCGGAACTGCCACCTCGGCACACTGGGTAGCCCGCCCAACAACCTGCGTCGCCGCCTCGGCGGTATCTCCCGCCTGCGAAAGACAGCCCCAGTCAGAACACAGAAAAACACAATGAATGATATTAAGAAAGTAACAATAACAGGTTTCTCACCACCTCAGCAGACTGGGCGGCCTGCTCAGTGGCCGGAATCGCCACCTCGGCGGCCCGAACCACCTCCTCAAAGGCCACCCGAGGGGCCTCCTTAGGCGACGGACTCTCAGTAAGGTCCACCGCACTCGCATCAGCGGCCGTGGAGGTCACCTCCTCGACATCCGCAGGGGCAGAGGTCCCCCCGGCCTCCCTTGCTCCCCTCTTCCTCTTTCGGCTGGCCCTTAGAGGGGGAACATCCTCCTCTTGAGGTTTGGGGACCTCGAGTTCTGTGACATTGTAGCGATGTTTGAGCTCGCGCCACAAATTCTTTCCCATGATACCTACAGGCAAGAAGCAAAATACATCAACAAAAGGAAATCACACGAGCCCTAGCAAACCACCAAAACACGAAATACTCACTCTCTAGGCCCCTCTCCCTGTAGGGCGAATTTGCAAGCGATAGAACGAGCTTGCAATCCAACGGACGAGGGAACGCAGCAAGGTTTTCAATGGCGGCCGCCTCCGAGGCCGTCACCTTCAGGTCACGCAAACCGTGAAACCTAGACGGTTTGGGACACCAGTAAAAAGGAAATTTCGGCAACCCACCGAAATGAAACACCTCATCTTCCAAAGGGTCGACACCCACAAGGGCGACCCGAAAAAACTCCTGTTTGAAATTTTTATATGACTGGGAGTAGAGAGTAAATAGACCCCCATCCCTACTCCCACTCAAGGACAAAATACCGTAAGGAGGGGCGCCCATCTTCAGCTGATAAAAATGAAGAAAGACGCGAAGAGACACCTTAATCCCCAGCACTGTACACAGGACTTGAAAAGCCCTCAAAAAACCTCAATTATTGGGGTGCAACTAGCAAGGAGCCGAGTTGATGAAGTTCAAAAAATCGCACTCAAATTGGGTGAAGGGAAGGCATACACCTAAATCCCTAAAAAAGCTTTGGTACATATAGAAATGGGGAGGGTCAGTAGACTTCCCCATGTACACGCCCTCATCGGCCTGACAAGGCTCAAGCCGAATCATATGGGAGATAGAAGGGTCGCAAACCCTACATGACCTGGAGATCCTATTGACCTCAAGAAAGGTCTGAAAGACGCTTTGGACCCCCGCCATCTCACGCTTGACCCAGTCATAACCGGAATGCCTGGCTCCGGGCCCCGGGGCGGATCTCTCTTTTCGACGGTGGCCTTCCCGGTAGCCACCGCCTTACC